AATCATAATGATTCTATGATTCTAAGTGTAATATTAGCATTTCAAAAATGAACCCTTACTGTCCCCTTCCTTTTGAACATGGGAAAGAAAAGCTCATTAATTTGCAGACAAACCCAACTAAGCCTACTGCGATCTGCACTAGCATTTTGGAGCCAAATTTGAAAGAAGTCAGTTTTACTACAGAGACAAGAAGTCTTGTCCTGTGTATCTACAATAAACAAACAAATAAAAGCAAATTCTACATTTATTTTAAAGATAATCAGCGGTCGTCTAGCCTAAAGCTTCTCTTGTCCAGGAAAACTGTCTGACAAAGTATTAAATGGAAAGAACTCTTGGCTGGAATATCACTCTTGTAACTGATTTTTGGTGTTCTAATATGCGTAAGATCACTTGTACACCAAATATCAAGAGCCAGACATCCTAACGAGGCACCTAGCTTCTGAAACTCTCCTTGAGATGCTCTAGCTTATAGTCTACACTTTTATAATCAGCAAGATTTGCTATTAACGCTACCTCAAAGCAGTGATAACTGTTCAGGTTGTGTCATTCTTTCTAAGATGCATAAAAGCATTTCAGTGCAAAATAAACAGTAAATTTCAGTGAAAGAGACAGGTCAGTTTGAGACAGACCTAGGGAGAACAGAAAAGGCCATTGTTTAAAAGCAATGAGGATTTCACCTGTGTACGTCAATGGTTTCCATCAAGCGACATATCACCCATGCCCACAGAAGAATCATGTGGTTGCAGAAAACAACAATCCCAATAAAAAAGCCAGTTCCAAGGATAAGTGTTTCCAGAGGATGTGCATATTCTGCTTGCATTCCAAATGGAGACTAGAAAGAGATAACAGAGAGGAAAACAGTCACCATTTCTGACTTGGTATACCCCAAATCAGGATCATCTTTTTGTGGTACTCTCCCCTACCCATTACCCCACAAGACCACAACAGGACAAACAGAATGACATTGTGGGCAAAGGAAACAGGACAACTGAGCAAGGGCCTTAACCCAGGTGTTCCGCTCCTCGCTGGGAAAACAAAATTCCAAGGTCATAAGGACTGTCATTCCATTAGTGATTCCAAACACTTCATTACTAATCGAAAAGTCAAAAACTTTTATTTAGGCTTACCGTTACCCCAGGCCAAAGCATTATTTCAGGAATATTAAAGTGTTTGGCAAGCTCCTATCAGCTTTGCTATACATCCAGTCTTCGAAGCAGAAGAAAGAAGGAAGCCAAAATATTCTCAGAATCACTTATAAATTTATTTTAAAACGAAAAATAAGAAATAAAAAAAAAACCTCATCTTTGATGATTTTTTAAAATACATTTGTACAGTTCAAACGTTATTTTGAGATCGCAATAAAACATTTCCCTTCCTTTATATATATACACACATGTCCTCCAGTCATTCCTATATTTGGTTTACCAAAAAAGACATTCCATAGAGAGTTTTCAAAAGTAGAACACCCTACAAAGAGAACAGTTTACAAAATTTTAGCCTAATGCTGAAGGTTATAAGTTTGATTATCAGAAAAAAAAAAATAAAAGTCCTCTTTGGCTTAAGGGCAATTTTAAAATTGTCACCTTTTACTATCAGGACAAGTTTTTAGTGAAACAGCCATTAGCCTACAGATCACTTCTGTGTGAACTGCTAACTGCTCTCAAGAATAAAGGCCAGAAGCTGCTCCTGCCGTATACCCGAGGGGCTGCCAAGAGCAAAAGGAAAACACCTTGCTGCTGCAGGTGGACGTATATACATATGCATCAGTCAATACCAAGCTTCTCTATTATTGGCAGCCCACATAAACCACTCCTGACCCCGCAGCTTGCAGTTTACCTTAGGCACAGTATAGGTTATACATTGAAACACAGCCGCACACAAACCCAGTAGCGCTGACTTCTGTGACGCAGAGACAGGGCCACCTCAACACAGCCATACTAGCTATAAGGTGGGAGCGGGCCTGGACCCCACCTGCCTCAGACCAGTGCCACCTCCAGTCAAGCACGGCTTATTATTTTGTGCTTAATGTCAGCTCTAACACCGCTAAACGTGGAACCACCCAATATGTCTCTGTACTGCACTCTGCTCTCGATGCGGTACCACACAACTGGCTATACTGCTTCCAGAGGCCCATATCCAAAGCTATAATCCTTCCCTGAAACAAGTACACAGCACATAGGGTGCGCAGCCCCAGACCACGCGGGAGCCGCCGGCCTGGATCATGTTCTGGGGATCGGTACGCTCTGGGTAACACCCCAGGCGGCGGCAAACTGATGAACAATCGCAACCAGAAACCTGCTGTTTCCCTTCCCCTAACAACGAGACCTATAAATACACTTTTAAAAGCCTGCTTCACCTAGCTCAATAGATATGACCAAACTTTAGCAAGAGTGCAACCTTTCATGAAATACAATTACGAGAGGTGTTTTCAGGAACAAAATGGATGACTGTTCTTGACAAAGAGCTCAGGAAAAGACACCTATCCCACTGTCAGAGGGATGTAAAGTTCTTAAGTCTTTCAAATAAGATGTTTAAATAAGTTGTATGAAACTGCGTACACTAAGAACTGTTAAAAAATCAAAGAATACGTACAACAAACTCATGGTGAACCTTATGGATATACTTGTATATTCTCTTGTGATGCAGCAACCTATGCAGGAAATAGTGCCAGGCATCCTCAATCACTGTACATCCCAAACACTGGGCAGCCAGAACATACCTTTAAAAAGCAGAAGAGCTATTAGTTATAGAATATACCAGCAGACGCACGATCTTGAAAGACAAAATAAGTTTATATGCTAGTAAGGGTGGGAAATGTTTATGCCTACTACTGACTGAGTAACAGTGCATTGACACTACCTTTTTAACATGCTAAAAATATTAATTACCAGGTACAAGGGCTATTGTCCTTATCAGCTGACCTGTTGATACGCTGAAGTGAGTTAGCACGTGGTATATAACAAGCTCTCATTTCAGCGTTACACACACAGTCTACAGAGAACACCTATAGACTATGTAAGACCTAGATAGAAAAATACAGAGCTACATCAGCTGTCTTAATCCAGATAGAAAAAAGCTTTCCAAGAAAGATGACCTTCTGTCATAAGGAACTTCTGTCAGAGTAGGGGTTGAGGGAGGAGGTCACATTTCTAAGGAATTCAGCTTTGTTTAAAAGTATATCAGTTTAGTGCAAAAAAAAGGGAGAATGTAAGCAGGTGGTACATTCTCTCCCTTGAGGAACACACTGTTGCTATGATATAAAACAAGGTGGAGGGAAGAAACACTTAGGAGGAATCAAAAAATTTTGGATTAAAAAAAACCAAAACAGAAAGTCCAATGTTTACCCCATGCCATCATGAATCTCGCTTCAGTTCCATAAACTCCCTCCTAATCGCTCT